ACTGGAAAGGCCAAATGAGTTTCGGCCAAAATCGCTCCACAGTGGCCGAATGGCCGAACCTCCTTGGCGAAAACACGTTCCGACCAGCTATCTGCCGAAAATATAAAGACCACTGTACCAACACTGCACCGATCACCCGACCCTTAAAAATATTTTTTGCTTGTGGGTAGCGAGATGTTACACTACGGAGAGGTGATACAGCTTGGTACTCGTACTAGCTACAGGACAGCATGACGCAGCAGCTGCTAAGCAACAGTAAGATCTGTCAAGGGTTTTAAGCTAATCCCTCAGCACCCAAGGACTACATCACCGTACGCTACTCCTGCGGATTTAAGTACGAGTGGAAGTGATTCGCTCCGTGGATCGATCGATGGTAGGCAGGATGGAGGTTTTGGTGACGCCTCCAATGTCGTCGGCAACAGATACCTTGATGGAATAGACGTGCCTTTGCATAGCGGGGCTCATCTAGTGAATGGCTCGACCGGTAAGTACTGGAAGTGGGGACAGAAAATGTACGATGGACCGTACGATCGCTTCGATGGCAGCATGGATTTGGTGGTACAGCAATTGCATTATGCTGCGACTGACGACTATTCAGCTCTCACAAACACTACCAGTAGCAGCGTAATATGACGCGTTTTGAACCTGTACATGTAGCGACAAAATACGTCAACTTCATTTTGTCGTCGTTAACGCGTTTTATAGAGCAATTACACACTGATTGTAAAACAAGGGCAAGCAAACACTGCCCTTTTCAGTATTGACAGTTTTGCCAGAAAGTTACGCGTTTGGCGCCGCATGCGAACGCAAGGCTCTCTTGCTTATCAAGCTTCGCTGCCGCCGTGAAGGAAGTATATTTTTAAGGTGGACGGCTCTAAGCAGGGATCGAATAATAAAAAAAATTAGCTCGCAAAACGTTTCAAGTATGACGTAACGATCTTTACAATATTCGCCACATGAATGCAAATTAATCGAGTGGAATATACTACAAAAATGTATTGCTGCTTGCTTTTGATTTAAAAAAACTAATTTTGCTAGCCAATATTAAAAAAAAAACAATAAGCGCTTTGTTAGTGGATAAATGCCGTAATATTTTGTTTCAATTTTTTTATTCGATCCCTGGCCCTGAGGTATGCGTGTTGGCATTCGTCAACCTAGTTAATGTTCCTAAGTGACCCTATCTAAAGTGGCTCCTGCAACTAAACTTAAGAGGCGGAACAAGCACACCTGCAGTCTAAACGTTTTTTTTTGCGTCTGTTACCACTAAATCCCCTCTAGTTAAGTTTCTGACAGAAGCCTCGCACAAATCGTCCTCATTTTTATTCCAGTTGTTAAACGAGGCGGAGCGCTGCATTATTTAAAATTAATTTCAGCACGGCAAAAAGCGCACATTTCCTTAAAATATTTCTTGAGATCCTTTCGGGATATAAGATGTACAGAGGTTCGCTGTACGAATGCCTCTTGCACAAAATTGGCTACCTGCAGTAGTCTTTACAAGGAGTCGATAAGGAAGGGTCCAGCCCGCCTGATCATGCATTGATGCAGCATGAGCATATTCGCAGGTATACGTGCTCCGTCTTCTCAGCGCAGCCTTCTCAGTTCGTGATGTACGAGAAGCCTATGCAAATGCTACAGTAGTAGAATCTACACTGATCAGTAAAATAGCTGGTCATCACTGACTTCCGTAAATGACGACTCAGCTTACTCAACTATGAACGAGGCTGGCAAAAGCATTCCACGTGTGGTTCACTGAGCAGGTATCTCCTTCGATCATCAGAGCACAGCTTCGCGCCAGGGGTCGGAAAAAGTTATTATAATATAATAATTGCGCAATTGTATTGACGGAATTACGGATTATTGGTAAAAAGAGATTTCCGTACAATATACAATTGGCCCCGTAATAACTATATTGAGTTTTTTTTTACTATACGTAAAACACACGAGTATAGCGCGAAAAAGTAGTCGGACAGCTTGCCACCGCCTCTTCCCTCGATAGTATCTTCACCGCCAACCATACCATTTGCCTTATCGTTCAATCTCAGTGATCTCTGTTCTGAAGCGATCGCCGTGGTTGACGATTTCGTCAAGCTTCTTTCTATTTGGCCGGAGTGTGCTGCTGCTGACAGAGAATCAGTGCTGGCGAGGAATGCAAACACAGTCACCAGAAGAGCACGACACAAATGCATGATCATCCCGACACACGCGAGAAAATTGGAAACTGAATCTGTAAGTCTACTGACAATGACGGAAGCTGGTCCGTTATGAAATGTAGGGCAGGCTCAATTTATAGCCGGAGTTATATTATTTGTGCACTGTATATCAGGACCTGTATTTTTGCGACACTTGGGAGACTGGGACGCTTGTTAGGGCGAAATGGAAAAGCAACAATATGGCTAAAATCTGAGGCTGAAAGATAATGTATTTTTTTGTATTTTTAGCGAAAAATTCATTTTTTGCGCCATCTTCCATCCAATAATATGCAAAATACTTATGCAGTACGTAGTGGCTTACAACATGAAGGTAAAAAAAAACGAATTTGGTCTAATTTATTTATGTAATAGTTGGTAATAAACCATATTGTTGATCTGGCCTGTGTTGCAATGTATATCACTGAGCTTGAAAGCAAAAGTATATTAACATATTTTATTTTCTTACCTCTGGCTAAAATGTCTGTTACGTACTCTAGCCTTGTAATTTTGAAATTAAACCAGAATTCAGTACGTGGTCTCGAAGGCAAAATAAGGACGAATGTAAATCATTAGAAAAGATTTACACCCCGCGCGTCGTTAGGCTTTCTGCCTGGAAATGCTGCACGTCAAATGACGTAGCTATACGCGTTCAGACAGCCATGATATACTAAATCCGGCACTTGAATAACAGCTTCGAAACTTTGGCTTCAATTTAACATTGATTTCCTATCGAATTTGTCCCCCACCTCTAAACCCTACCATAATTGCTCCTTATAAATTTCAAGTTGCTTTAGTGGCCGGCTTCACACAAAAAACAATCACCAATCGTAGTAGAAACAGGGCTGCCGTTTAGCTTCTTCTTTTTTAACCATAGAGTATTTTGTTTAAACAGAAAAACAAAAATACATGTACAAGATTTTAATTATACGAATCAATGGAGTTATATATCTGTCTATGTTAAGTTTAATCATTGAAGCTTCGATTCGTATTCTGCTGAGACCATCAGGTTTTTGTGCCCTTACGACAAATCAGCGCAAGAACCCAACCGCAGCCGACACAGCTGGTCTGCATTATATATTTTACTGGAGGAGCTGATCCGATTTGAATTGAGAGTTGTATCTAATAGGGGCTGGTTAAATACTAAGCGCTACACAGACGAAGTGACGCATATGTACTTGCGAGTCCCTAGCTTTAAGCATAAGACCGAAAAAATGAGAAACTGAATCCCCGAGAAAAATAGCTGATCGCTATCGAATCGGTCACAACACTACAACGAAACGAGCAGCTGTAGCATATTGATCCGTTGCACATCATTCGACAGCAGTGCCTGAGCACTTACAAACTCTCCCCGTCCTAAAGACGCAATGTAACCGTCAGTGCGACTATTAATATTATACCAACCAGACGGAATTATAATGTTTATCCCAAGAGACAGATTTATATGGAAAATGACCTGTTTGTGTGCAGCACGATTACGGTAAAATGAAACGATACATACGGTACCGTAATACTTGATCCGTTTTTGGCGGTGGTCCGGGCTACCAGAAAAGCTAGAACTCTAATAATCCGGAGATAGTGCAAATGCTAAATCGAAGGTAGCTTTGGAAATGCATATTCAAAAAAAAAGTTTGGTCAGTCACACATGAGCAGTCCACTACCCGTCCGACGCGTGTTTGGGTATCGCACGTGACCGCCTTGTGTGTAGTTTTTCAGCTTCATCTGCTAGCATCTTTTTGTCACTCTACCAAATAACCGCCAACCGCGCATTTGCGCGGTGGAAGATGAATGGTAGGTGGGACTAAGTGTGACGGGGTCACACAGCACCTTGCGCTAGCTTCCGAGAGTATACAAACTCTCAGTGAGCGGCAGCTCACAGGGCCTAATGGAGCGACGTGATTAATTTAAGGTAAGTTGAAAACTCGGTATATCTATAGGTAGGCTAAGCTTTAGTTAAATAAACAAACTATAAGTCACCTATAAAAAAGCAATGTCATCAGCCAATGGTTGGCATCGGACGAGCCTGGTACCATGTACCAGATATCCCTAAGCATGACGTGCCACACTTCATGTAACTAGGGGTACGCTTAGGGCTACGTACCCCGTTACATCCCTTCCACTTAAGTTCGGCTTACCGACCAATCAGAATGAGGAAGTGTACGTCACAAACGCTCATTCTCAAAGTCGAAATACATCGACTTGGGCTGCGCGAGCGCAGCGGAGGCTCATTTCACAGTTAGAGCCTCGGGCAGCGGTTAAGCGCTCTTCTTCTTGGTCTCCACATCGACCGTTTTCATGCCCCGTGAAGTACGAAGAGCGGTGCGAAGACACGCTCCAAGGCTGTTGCCTGAAAGACGCAAACCAAGAGCGTTAAGCCTCACGGCAAAGTCTCTACACTCCAGGAAGCTACTAAGGTGGCCTCCGAGGCTACTAAGGTCGGTTCGGAGGCATTCGAATCAATGGGTGACGTGGCTGTGAGCAGGCGTGCGAGCAAGCGTGCGAGCAAGCGCCGCGGTCCGTCACCTTCGGTCTCCCTAAACAACCGGCCAAACCCTCGGTTCGCGAACGTGAGTTTCACTCAGTGAGGGCTCACGATGCTCCGGTGGGCTCCGTAAAAGAAAACACTCCAGTGCCCAACAAGCACAAAAATGACAGCGTGCAGTCGCTGGCTAGTGATCACGGTCATCACAGTCCCAGGACGTATGTGCGCTCTGAGAGTCCTGCCATCTAACCTAAGGGCTCTCCCAAAGCTGGCGACGACGAAGAGAAGAAACCTCGCAAACACCTCTCGCTTGTCGAGGGCTTGCGTGTGCTAAGACCACCAAAGCCGAAGGAGCCAAGCCCTCTAAGAAGCGTACGGCTTCGACGCCTTCACTCCGCGAGGAGAAGGGGACTGGGTACGCCTATCAGAACATCCTCGGTTATTTGGATGAATAGGACGAGGAGGATGAGGAAGAGGAGAAGGGTCCTATTCCTGAGCCACAGGAGATCGCTAACGACCTCAACCAGCAGCAGGAGGTTTTCTAAGCTGCCCAGCGCACGCGTGGGGGTCCGGTGGTGGCACCCGTCAGTCAGGGAGCTGCCATCAGCTCAAGAGGTTATTGGCCTCCCGAGGAGAGCTCTGGGGCTGACCTCTTCCTGTAAATTCTCGTCGCTGCTTGTAGTCTTGTTTTTGGTCACACTTCTAAGGGCAATTACGAACTGGTCCAGGACAGCTTGGAGGCGGCCCGGTGCTTGCTTCGCGCGACGCACCAAATCCCTCTTAAGGGCTTCACGACTTGTCGTCTCAAGCGTGACGGACGCTTTTGCATACAAATTTCATAACAAAAGTCGAACGATAAACGAAGTAATCCCTTCCATCGGCTCTGCAGCGCTTCGTACAGCTATCCCAGGATAGCTCTGTATTTATATAAAATGCAGGAGGTTTAAGACAGGGTGTAAATCCAGCAGTAGAATGGAAACCGACAACAGCAAACCCCACCAACTGAGTATCAGGAGATCCTTATCGGTCATTTCTGCTGCATCCGATAATAGGTATAAGTGGTGCATAATTACGATGCTACGCCATGCTCTCATATTTTAATAGAAGCCACAAAAAAAGAGGCGGTGAAATTAAGTTAACGCACTCTAGTCAAAATGAAGTTTTGCATGATATTTTGTGCGATTTAAAGCATACAGTTTTGCGCGTTTTAAGACATGTGTTTAGTGTTGATTTTGCTGTACCCGTTTTACCGGAAGCACCCCGAATCAATAAACTTTCATCACAGCCCAGACAGAACCAAGTTATCCCAGTGCCGTTTGGTACAACTGTTTAAATTACCGAAAGATAGAGGCTCACCGGATTTCTTTTGTACAGCGGAAAAATGACTTTCAAACGCTCTACCGTTTGTGGATATATAATGTGATGCCAAGATAGGATGTACTTAGTTTTGTTTTGGATATTTCTTTTTCACACGAGCACCGACCATCACAGTGTTCCGCTCTATAAGCTCTTATAATCCGATAGCCAAATTCAAAATCACAGCGTCATGTATCGATTCGCAAGTACATTTGTAGATTCCCGGCTACGTTATTCCCTCCATAAGCCGGTGGCTAGGTGCTGGTGGGAAGTCGGATCCAGCATTCTCGTAATTTTTGCTGATCTCTCTACACCACACTTTTGTCTCATCGTGTACCCCGTTTTTGGTGTTTTTTTTTTACTGAATGCCACATCTCCCTCGAGTAAGCTCACATCTTTCACCAAGTTCGCAGGTGTTATTAAGGTCGCACAATACACGCACAAGAAAACTAAATTGCTCAATGGAAAACTCGATTGTTCACCCAATCAGCGCTTACGGTGGCGTTGCTCTGTCGAAGTTTTTTGTGGCGACAACACAGCCAATCTTAATTATATATTTATTTTCGCAGCCTGATTCCTTAAAAAAATGTTTTAGCTTGATACACTAACACGATTCGTTAAGATTATGTACTACCCAGTGCTCACTTTAGTTAGTAAAAACATATATGTTTTACATGAAACAATAGGGCTAAGCAAAGCTAAAATTGCAAGAAAAGGTCGAGGTATGCGAATTCAGCAGGTCGGATGGTCCTCACTTTTGTGGCAAATTTTACATCTCGGTGTAATTCCTTTTAAAACAAAATTAGTAGCCCATGTAAGTAACACTATTTAGAAATTAGAGATATTAGATTAGCTTTTTGTTGATGCTACTGAAACTAAAACGCTATTCGCAGTTCGAACTTAAGTGAGAACTGTGTTGGGGGGGGGGGGCAACGGCGCGGTTGTAAGCATGTCATCTTTCAACATTCGGCACACATCACACTGAAGCAACCTTCGATGCGCATATTTTTGACAGGCCCAGCGAACGGGTGTCCCACAAAGAGGGAGACAGAAGGAAGCATTATAAAGCTTGTAGTGGTGGAGGCAATGTGGTGGAGGGAGACGAGTGCAGCATAAGGACTACACGAACAACAAACGGTAAGTCTCCAGTACAGTCGGCAATGTTAGC